AAGCACAAAGTTTCATCAGCAGACTAAGCTACTGCCTTATATTTTTTTTTAGCAAAGAGTTTGTTAAAACAGTGTTAACATGGCCTGGTGAGAGTAGAGAAGTCAAAGTTGGGAGCCTGAGGTTTCCCTTCCCACCACAGATCCACAGCTGACACACTGGTTTTCTGTCTCCACCATGAATATGGCATATTGGTGCCCGTTAGGAACATATTATTCAATAGTTCTCTGTAAAGCACTTTGGAATCTTTAGTTATATGTTTTTATGAAATTACAATGAATAATTACTTGCTGTCTGGAAGTATGCAATTCTTGTCTCTCTCCTCTCCATACACAAATATATAAAATAACACATTTAAATTTTTATTTCAGTATTTACTTCTTTTTCTCCAATAGCTAAAAAAGAAAATAATTCTTATTTTTCCCACTTTCAATTATATTATAATTGAAAGGCCTGATTTGGAAGGGAAGGAAGGTCCTTAAAGTAAGGCAAATGACTCATTTAGGACAATTATCTGGCCTTTATTTTAGGGTGGAATGCTACTGTTTACCTTTGAACACAGGTTTCAGGCTGATCTTTAATTGTACACACATTGCCCTGTAAGTGGGATGCTTTCCAACCCACAAAATGTTAGTTGTCAGAGAAGAAGAACTAATTCTTGGTGGGTGCTTAAAAATGATAACTAATGAAATATAAATCAAAGCATCCTGCCTTCTTATATTAATATCAGTATCTCACCGAAGGATAAAACACCTCATGGGACCATGCCTAGGAACAGGAATAAAAAAACAATGGGCCACAATCAACAACTGTTTGATAAAACTTCCATCTTCTGTTTTCTACTCAAACATTACAGTTTAAATATAATCTTGCTCCCCCCAAAAGTAAGAAAGGCACTCGAATTAACACAGTGTGTATAGTTATTTCTTAAAAGATATTGGGTAACAGTAAGTAGAATTCTTGGGTTTGATTTTTCTTGCTCATTACCTTCATGACACTGAATTTGCCTAAACTTTCCAGTGCCTCCACACACTTCTCCATTAAATAGAAGCTCACTACAGAGCACACCTAAATGCGGGGAGGTAGTAGCACATAAAGTGCTAGGGTTTGCACAGCATAGTTCTATTTGAGAAATTTATTCAAAAGACAAAAGGTTCAGTTATAACGCGGTTCAAAATTTCTCACATACTTTAAATATCTTAAAAGTTTCAAAACATATCTTTCTAGTAACAAATTATCAGTAAGCTTAAAATGGCTTTTTGCAAAAAAAAAAAAGGATCATATGTTACTTCCTTTTACAACTAAATCTTTATCTTCTATAGTTCAGGGGGACAAAGGTAGAGATGTTGTACAGTAGTAGGTGGTAGTTGCACTTCTAATCAGATACCATCTGTGCTATATAAGAAAAAATTAGACAATTTGCTCACCACAATTAAAAGTTCTTTTCACACATACACACAGACACATGTCTGCGTGACCCAATATGCGTAAATTGGCATGACATGAACATATCAACATATTTAAATGACAAAGTCTATCATATACGCTTTCCTACAAACTGCTGCATAAAAATAAAAAAAAAAAAAACCTTTTGTTTCCATATCACATAAGTCCTTATTTGAAGACTTAAGTGGCTTTTAGTGATAACCTGTACACATTTAATCCTATTCCTAATTAAGGAAGCCTTTAATTTAAATTACATACATACCATAGGAATAAGAAATATAATTGAAGGTATGGGCCCAGAGTTTCTAAAGAGGTAACAAAATGTAAAATCTAGGAAAGAAAAAGAGGATACCAATATGTATCAAATGCTTACGCTTAAAAAAAAGAGTCATACAGGTTTAAGAAATATCTGAAAGATCCATAGTTCACGCTGGAGACAAAAAGGAGAAGCACAAAATGACTATCCATGCATACAGATCAACAAGTCACTGAAATCAAAGAATTTCTTCAGATGACCAAAAGTGGCTCTTGCTGGCTCTGTATGTAAGATCTGTTCTCTAATATCATAAATGAACAGAAAGTAGTGTTCTTAATGCAAGTGGGTTCCATTAGCTCTATGGATTTTTAATATACATTAAAGTACAGTTAATTGATAATTATAGAGCTGCGTGTCTTGGCCGAGATTTGGCAAGCTTAAACAAAGGTAATTAAATGAAGAAAAAAAATCTAAAGGAACTTATTCTAAATGTAATAGCTCTCCACAAATATTATGAAGCTAGAAAGCATCATTCATTCACAATCCATTGCACTAATCCATTAATTTCTCAATCATCACTCACTCTACCTATCACTCACGACCAATCTTTCTCTTCTTCAAACAGTTAATCATTCATTAACTTAATAAATATTTAATGAGTCCTCACAATTTGCAAGGCACAAGTAGAATCTGGAAACACCATATTACCAAAATAGGTATACTAAAAAAAAGGTGGGACAAGGCTGGTGGTGGAGATAGTTAGAGATCTTACTGTTTTTTGCTTGTCAATAGTAGTATTAATCCACAGGATGGTACAATGACTTGCTATTCTTCCAGTGAAAGTTTAGTGAAATGTGTTTTAATTTAAACCATCTTTTCCTTTTAGGTATTTATAGAAAAATAAGTGAAGACTAACAAGCCCCTGAAAATAGACAAAGCCTTTCCACTGCATGAGCTCAGTCAAAAATATTATCATGCCTATGAATTTAAATGTTGACTACTTAGGAACAAAAACTTAACAATACAGGACAATGCTGGGGTTTTCTGTAAATGAACACTTGAAAAATGCAAATTTTAGAAATAAAGTAGCACACAAAAGTCACGTACTAACAGTATCCTTTGGATATTTGTATTTTCACTCCCTACTTAAAACTTTATTAGGAAGACAAGAGACCAGGATATATTACAGGACTGCATGGCTTAAGAAAGGGGTAGGTTAAAAGCCTTAGAACATACGAAGATAGTTAACACCAAAGATGGGCAAGATACTCAGCGGAAGGTATAAAAAGACATGGAGCTCTATGAAAATGTAGCTAATTCACAGGGTATTGTCTATACTCATGCACGGATACTTTCTCATATCAAAGTATAAGCAAACTCATCACCTAGGATACTAAAAATGATGCTTGGAAAAAAGGTAATACTGAGCGAGGCCAGAATTTGGCAACATGTATTAGTGGAATGAGTTGACTCTCCCCATGTCTTCTTTGTGTAGTTTCCCATCAACTTCCGCAGGAGCTAAAAGTCATTAACTAATGGTTTTATTCATAGAGGTCTAAGTAGACCTTGAGGTATTTGATTCAAAATATGCATTGTACACAAAGGGACATGGAATTATGTTCATAATGGCAATTATTTTCTCACCTAAATATTATAAAAGTTATAAAAGGGTAATCTCTTCACCCCAAGAGAGAAGGGCAAGTTCTGTTTACTAGGGCCAACCTAGACAGTATTTTTGGTGTTCTTTAAATCTCACTCAGTTCAACAGTCTGCCACTCAACAAAACCAAGATGCCCAAGTAAAGGACCTCATCCTCCTTCCTCCTTATGACAATTCACCTAACTCAAGTCCAGGCTTTCCAAAATAGTGACATAGAAAAGGTTTGCCTTTCCCTACATCTTTCTCCCCACCTTACAGATTACCTAGCAAGTAAAAAGGAGAACAGGGAAAGCATGGCAGTCACATTTATTTCTGCCACTATTACATTCTGCACACACACAGAACAACAGACAGCATACATCATTAGAGGAACTTTTAGAGGGGCAGCTCTTGTTCATATTTTCCTGGTGTGTGTATGTTTTTAGATGGGGTATGAAATTATTGCAAATAGGGAGGAGAATATCTTCAGGATGCATCCCTGAAATAAGAAAGATAGGAAAAATATACAAAACTGAAAATGACAAAAAATAGAGAAAGGATTGGCAAAATAAATAGGAAGGTATGTGGAAAGAAGAAACAAAGACCATTTACAAAGGGGGAAATATAATAAGAAAGTAGACATTATTTGGCCCTTTCCCCACCCCCACCTCACCAACCTGAAAAACTCAGCCCTTGTTATTAAAAAGATAAGATACAGCTATAATGTGGATACTTTGGTACCTCATCCCTGATAAGTTCAGTATCAAAGTGTTATGTTTTTAAAATAAAGACTGAAGAACTAATCTTCAAAACTATTCTTTCCCCCTGGCTTTTGCCAGTAAACTTTTTAATAGTCACTTTAAAATAATTTTGTAGTTTATCTAGTATATTCTCAATAATTTAAAATTTTAAAGAGAAAGATTTTTATGGATACACTTTCTATGTATATTTCTCTCATTTTTTCATAAGTAAATTTAAAAGGGAAATAGTAGTAACTAAAAATGGCATTCCAGGTTTTTTAAAAAAATCAATTTTATAAGGGCTGACAAGTGTTTTGGCATATACCAAATTTGAGGTAAAAACAATCTATCAAAACTAGTAATAAAAATAATTTTTCAGTACTGCAATTACATAAACACTTAAATTATTTTAAAATAACCATTTAAAAAATGGATTACATTGGAAGTATTTTTTTCATATAAATTCTGATACTTCTGGACTTTGGTTATATTAGTCTATAACTTGAGTAGGACACGCTAGAGAAGAGAATTGGTTTGTATTTTGACATATCCATCCATCTAGCCATTTGATTCTCAAACAATTACATTAAGTCATTCTGCATTTGTATTAATGTTCTTTAGCTGAATTACAACATAAATTTTTAATTTTTTAAAAAATTTGCATATGCAGCAATTGCACTGAGGTGAGTGGAGGTGTGCGCAAACCAATTAGGAGAACCAAATGAGAAGCCTCATCTATAGAAATATAAAGAATGAGAAGTTAAAAAGAAAATTTAAGACTCACTGTTTAGCAGGAAAGAACTATACAATTATTTTAGCCCCAAAGGAATGCCAGTTCTTACAAAATAAATAAAATCAAAGATTTACTAAGGACTTTTAACCTAAAGAAAATAGGTAGGTTGAAGAAGAAATGAAGAAAATGAAGAAAATATGGTTAGTCAATAATAGTAAATAGTTCATGCAATGTAAAAGAAAGCAATATTGCACTAAAAGGGGAACTTTGTAGGACTAATCCACCTCTTTCATTGACTCAAAGTAACCAGCCATTTCCTGTATGCATTGGCAAACCTGGCTTGTTCTACGTCCCGGCAAGTGGACAACACTTGATCAATGAACCTGTGCTCCATTTCTAGGCCTAGGGAGTCTGCAGCTGGGGTCCGCTTTAGGCGTTTGGTTTCTTGGGAATAGCCTTGCTTGCTTGAGTCATTCAGTCCATCCACTTCCATTGCCTGAGACAGTTGGGGGCCAGCTGGAATAAGATGCAAGTCACTCAAAGTCCCCCCAGGGCTGTCTGCAGGTGACAACTGGGTCATGCTGTGAGGAAACCTACCATGTAAATGATGCTGAAGATAGAAAACATGCCGCCTGTGATGGGGGAGAAGGAAGAAGAGAATAATGAAAATCACATTACAAAGTCTAGTTATTTCAGAAGAAATAATAAAAAAAAAACAGTTGGTAATTTCAAAACACAGAGCACTCAGTTCACTGCCCACTTCATAACCCAGAGTTATCTAGGGGAAGGAGGATAAACAATTGAGATGAAGGCACTAACTATAATATAAAACTAGAAATAGGTCTTAATCCAATTTCTCCTATAAATTATAATACAAAGCAGAACCAAAAATTAACCACATTGATATCTTAGAAGACAAGTGTTCAGAAATAAGGGATTAAATTTTTCCTTTAAAGGCTTATTCTGTGGCCTTTACCCAATACTTTCTTTAATAAGAATAACATCTGCTGCAATTGGTCCTGTTATCTAGAGACCAACTGAACTTTCTCTTAAATTCATTGCTATAGTTTTGAATATCCACATGCACTGGAGATGTGCTGGGCTCCGAGCAAAGCATGTTAAAAGATACAGTTCCTGTTCTCCCTCTAAGGAGATCAATTCTCCTGCCCTTAAAATCACCTGGAATTGTTTGTTAAAACTGAAGATACATGTGCCTAATCTCAAAAAATGTTGTGGTGGAAACAGCGATAGAATTAGAAGTGAAGCCTGAAGATGTGACTGAGTTGCTGTAATCTCATGATAAAACTTTAAAGAATGAGGAGTTGTTTCTTATGGATGAGATGGAATCTACTCCTAGTGAAGATACTATGAACATTGTTGAAACTACAACAAAGGATTTTGAATATTAGATAAATTTAGTTGATCTGGCAGGGTTTGACAGGACTGACTCCAATTTTGAAAGTTCTACTACGGGCAGCATGTTATTAAACATTGAATGCTACAGAGAAATCGCTCATGAAAGGAAGAGTCTATTGATGAGGCAAACTTCACTGTTGTCTTACATTAAGAAACTGCCACAGCCACTCCAACCTTCTACAACCACCACTCTGATCAGTCAGCAACCACCAACATCAGAGCAAGATTCTCCAACGAGCAAAAAGACTGACTCATTGATAGCTCAGAGAATTGCTAGCATTTTTTATTAATAAAGTATTTTTTAATTAACATACTTTTTTAGAAATCATGGTATTACACACTTAATAGGCTACAATGTAGTATAAACATAACTTTTATATGTACTTGGAAATCAAAAAATTTGTGTGACTCGCTTCATTGTGATAATCACTTTATTGCAGTGGTCTGGAACTGAACCTTTAATATCTTTGAGGTATGGCTGAAGCAACAAAAATCTGTAACAACAAAACCTGCCAAGTTAAGATCTGTCTTCTCTCCTGAAAATGTGAAATAAGAATGTCTTGGTTTTAAGAGAAAAAGAGAATTCTCTACTTATGAAGGTGCCAAGGAGGGGAGACAGTCTTCTGTCTTATGCATATATTTAGCGTGGGATAGCAGCTGACCAGGTTTCCTCAAATAGGCTACAAGAAAGACTAGACAGGCCGGGCGCAGTGTCTCACACCTGTAATCCTAATACTCTGGCAAGCTGAGGCTGGAGGATCGCTCGAAATCAGGAGTTCGAGACCAGCCTGAGCAAGAGCGAGACCCTGTCTCTACTAAAAATAGAAAGAAATTACCAGAACAACTAAAAATATATAGAAAAAATTAGCCAGGCATGATGGTGCATGCCTGTAGTAGTCCCAGCTACTCGGGAGGCTGAGGCAGAAGGATTGCTTGAGCCCAGGAGTTTGAGGTTGCTGTGAGCTAAGCAGATGTCATGGCACTCTAGCCTGGGCAACAGAGTTAGACTCTGTCTCAAAAAAAAAAAAAAAAAAAAAAGCCTAGACTGGAGAAAGGGGGAAAAATCTTAATCACTTCAGAAATATACAAATTTTTAAAAATGCCTACCTCCTGCCTAGCAGAAGCAAGTCTTTTTTTGTAAATAAAATCTTATGGCCTGAAGTAGAGAATCTGTATTTATGAAGGTGGAGATGTCTCCAAATAAAAGAAGTTCTGAAATAAATGAAGCAAGGAAAGGTTCATATACCTGGACTTCATTCCAATATGAAATTTGCTTTACTGTCAAATGTACTCAACACTCAGGTTAATAGATTATTTACCTTCATTCATTCCTTCCTACCAGTCGTTCCCCATTCCCAAAGAAATTCTCTTATACTTTAGATAATCAAAAAGTGTCAAGATATTATACATAAAGTAAGTTAATTTGCAGACCAACAGGGTCTGAGAAATGATAAAGCTTACCTTGTTCTTGGGGTCTAATCAATAGTCTCAATATTGACTGTGCACCAAAATTATATTAGGGTTTTTTCTTTTGTTTTAAAAAACAGAAGGCAGCACTCTACCCTAGATAAGCTAAATAGAAGGATTTCCAAGAAGGGAATTCAGAAACTTTTGTTACTATTTTATTTTGCTTGTTTTTGTTTTATTTTGGAAGTAACACAGGTAATTCTGTTACAGTCAAGGTTGAATACCATTATCCTAAGCTATAGGCAGAGATCTGCATGAGCAATCTCACACTGATGATGATGATGATATTGTAACACAAACCCTCTCACACTCACTCAGTCAAAACTCAAAACAGATGACCATGTTTACTCAAGCAGGCAAGAATTAGATGTAACACCTCCTGCAGCTCACATAAGGACATGTGGTTTTACGAAGAATATGGATTTTCTCTTCTCTTACCTATGACACCAAAGGGTTTCATGTCCTGGGTAGGAATCGATAAGATCAGTGCTGAATTCAACTTCTTCTTCTAGAAGATGAGGAAGATTTATCCTTGGTTCCTCTGTTGAAGCTGCTGCTTCTTCATCTTTTGGAAGCAGGGCTGGCTCACTTCTCAAAGGGTTTTGCTCCAAAACAGAATTGTCTATCACAGTTTGGCTAATCAAAGACTTTAACAAAAACTGGCGGTAGTGAAATCCACTGTGGTCTGAAACGTGCAAGGACGCCCAGTGTTTAGTAGAAGATAGTTCATCAAGAAGAATCTTGTAGGAAGAAAAAGGGAAGTGAGAAGAGGAACTCCCAAAAGTTTTTCTTTTTCCACTAATGCTTTTGATTTCTCTTTGGTTTGTTACTTGTTTTGTTGACAATACCATTCTTACCAGTATTTTGTATGCTATGCCCAGCACAGTGCTGTCACTTAGTAGAAGCTTAATACATGCCAGTTTCCCCTTTCCCACATAAAGTGATAAACAAAACAAAAACAGAACAAAACTTAAGGACCTGTCATTCTTTCCCTGGACCTTGACAAATCACATTCTAATTGGTACACAGATAGAAAATTCAAATTCTTTGCTAATAAGTTTCATGAGGGCAGAGACCATGCCTGTCTTTTTTCACTACTTAATTTTAAGGGGTAAGCACAAAAATATGATGAGTGAATAATAGGATTTTTCAAGAGCTCATGATTTTCACTATTCATCTCAAACTTAACATCAATGATAAATAAGTTTTTTAAACAGAAGAAATACAATTCTACAGTAAATTGTTTAAATCTTTGCACTGCCAATCTGTAAACAAAAGAAATTTAAATTATTTTTAAAAGCTACATTTATGGAAAAAATTATCTGGCAGTGTCTTGGACAGGTAGCAAATGTAAATCAGTTTTGATCAGTGAAAGGTATATTGAGGGCCTACCACATTCCACTAGAAAATTTTCAGACCAGCTAAGGAAAAGAAGTCACATACTTGTGAACAGTGAATAATATGACAGTGCAATGCCAAATAACACCTTTACCTGCTTGTCAAGGGTCCCAGGCAAATGTCACTTCTTGTACCCCTTTACTTCCCTAGAAGAAATCTTTCCCCATTCTGCAACTCCAACACTCGTATACATAATATATTAAAGAATTTTCTATGCATCTGTTCATTCCCACTAAACTCTATAGGTGCTTTAAGATATTTAGTCATTCCTAATTGATGTTTCAATCCCTTATACCTACTGACATCAGAGTGAATACATATTTTATAAATAGATGAATGAGCAATGTAACAAATGAGGTGACTAGTGCAAAGGAATAAGGTTCCTTCCAGACAGGATGGTCAAGTTATATTAATCCTATCAGTGAAATGTTTTAAATATCTCCTTTATGTTATAATGAGTTTATTCATAGCCATCTAAATTTATTCTAGAGGCAATAACTGTCAAGTCTCTGAGAAATGAAAAACAAGAACATTTATCTGATTTTAAAAGGTGAGCAATGTTAAAGCACCAGACAAAACTTCTACCTGAAAAAAAATACTCTTAATGTTATTACATTTTTGAAAAATTAACCTGTAGGACATTTAGGCTATAATATAGCAGCTTTTTAACTTTGGTATAGCTTCTTAATATGGGCTGAAAAGAGGACTCCATTTGTTTAAAATGAACTTATATTTTAAAAAACTTAGATTATTTATTACAGAGTATTTCTATGTACAAAAATTGTAATTCATTAATTTTACATACATGAAAGTTATTCAACAAAATCAACTTAATATCTTAAAAATATTCTTAAGACTTTTTTAGAGAAAAATCCATTACATTCTTTTCCTTAAGATATAAACATGCATATTAAACCAAAGAAGAAACTTTAATAGGAGTCTAGGACATTTTCTTATTAAAATAAAAAGGTATATAAATAAAGGCAATGATTTAAACAAAAGACACCAACTACTTTTAAGTGTTCTATATGGCTTAGGCTGAGTGTGGTGGCTCACGCCTGTAATCCCAGCATGTTGGCAGGCCGAGGCAGGAGGATCGCTTTGAGCCCAGGAAATGGAAGTTACAGTGAGCTATGTATGATCAGGTCACTCAATGTACTTCAGCCTAGGTGACACAGTGAGACCTTGTCTCTAAAAATAATAATATAATAATAATGATAATAAAAAAAAAAACAGAAAATTAAAGATATGGCTTAAATGTATGGCACAGAATGAATGCATTTTATATGACATACCTGAAATGTCCTTATTCTTTTCCAACTTCCATATAAAAAATGAGTGGATAAATAACTATAAGAAAACTATAATCAGGTCTATGAAACAAGAATAACACGTTGAAAACAAAAAGACTACTAAAAATGTACAGGCCATCAGTCTTGTAAATTTTTAAAAATAACATTTGATTTTCCTTCTGATTTTATCACTTCTAAAAGTGATCATTATAGAAAATTTCAATAATATAGAAAAAAATTAAAAAAGCAAACAAAAATCACTGATGATCCTATTGGCCAGAGATTATTCTTAACATTCTGGCACAAAACCAATCTTTCATATTTTTTTGTGTGCATACATATGCACATAGTTTATTTTTAACACAACTTGGGATACTCTTTTATACTGATTTTATTCCACTTAAGTTAGAAACATATTCCTATGGCATTAAATATTATTCTATAATATAATTTTTAACTCTTACATAATATTTCACCTTCAATATTACCATGATTTAACCATTCCTTTATTTGTTTCTACTCTGGTATATGTAACACTCATATAAATTTACCGTGTTTCCCCGAAAATGAGACCTACCCATAAAATAAACCCTAGCAGGATTTCTGAGTATTTGCACAATATAAGCCCTACCCCAAAAATAAGACCTAGTGATGGGTGTGGCTACGCAGCCTATCTGCACAACCCATGCATTTCCTTGCCGGGTGGTAAAGAAGATGAGCAGCCCTTCTCATCTGCCCCATGAGAGCTCTATTGCTTGACATGAGAGATTGGGGCCAATGGTTCTAAAGCAAATAGAGTCGCAAGACATTCAGGATGGAATTTGGGGTTTGAAGAGTTACAATGATGTTCCAGAAGACGACGACTTAACTATATTTGAATAAATGTAGATTGTTGTACAGCACTTAAAAAAAAAAAAAATAAAACATCCCCTGAAAATAAGCCCTAGGGTTTCTTCTTGAGGAAAAATAAATATAAGACCCTGTCTTATTTTCGGGGAAACACAGTATGTGCTATCTATTTATTTAGGAAGAATTTCTAGAAGAATACTTGCTGAAACAGAGCAAAACTATGTAAGGTTCTTGATATATACTGCCAAAGTGCCCTCTAGAAAGGCTATATAATTTATATTCCTATTGGAAATACATGTTAATGCCTATTTCCTAAATTCTTCATCAATACTTTAATCTTCACTAATGTAGTAAGTAGAAAATCACATTTCAATTTATATTTCGTTAATCATTAAGGCTAAAAATGTTTTCTTATATGATTGTTTTTCCTTTATTTCTTCATTTATGAATTGACTATTTTGCCTAATTATCTACCTTTATGAATTGTCTAACTTACTATTTGTGATAGTCATTCTTCTTCTCATGGGTTTCTAAGAGATCTTTATATACTAAGGACATTAAGTCTCTCTCGTACATCTTGTAAATATTTTTCTCCATAGATTATATTACTGCAATTGATTTTCTAAATCTTCTTTTTCTCTGCAGCTTCACTGAAGTAGAGTTGACAAACAAAATTGGTATATATTTATGTTATACAACATGTTTTAAAGTATACACTGTGAAATGATTGCCACAATCATGATAATTAACACACTCATCATCTCATATGGTTATTTTTTTTGTTGTAAGAACATTTAAGACCTATTCTCTTAACAATTTTTAGGTATACATTACTAACTATGGTCACCATGTTCTGCAACAACCGATCTTAAAAATTTATTCATCCTAACTGAAACTTTGTGCTCTTTTACCAGCAACTCTTCATTTCCCAATCCATCCTCTGCTCCTGCAGTCATCATTCTACTTTCTGCTTCTATGAATTCAACTTTTTTAAGATTCTACCCATAAGTGAGGTCGTGCAATATTGGTCTTTCTGTGCCTGGCCTTTTCACGTAGGATAATATACAACAGGTCTCTTTTTCTTCATATAGATTGTTATTTCATTTAGAGCTCAGAGTTCAGTTTAGTATATGAGATAAAAAGTCTAACTTAATTATTTTCTAAAAAGTCAATCAATTTTACCTGCATCACAAGTTAAAGAAAGAATCCTTTCTCTAATTAATATGAAATGCCATATTCATCATTAATGAAATCTGTACATATTATTTATTCGGATGTGTTTCTGGGCTATATTCTCTTTCATTACTAAGTCTATTTTTGAAACAGTACCGCAGTTTTAATTACTCTGTCTTAATAAACACTTAAACATCTAACAGTATAATGTTCTTTATTTTTCCTTTTTTCCAACAATTTCTTAAAGCTTATTTATTCACAAGTGTGCACTTTCCACTATAGTCAAGATTCCTTATATTGTCGTTTTATAACCACAACCACTTCCTCTCTCTTGTCCCTAAGCCCCTGTAATCACTCATCTTTCCTGTTTCTACAATTTTCTTTTTTTTTTTTAATGTTATATAAATGGAATCATATAGTATGTAACCTTTTGGAATTAGATTTTTTTAATTCAGAATACTTCCCTGGAGATTTATCTGAATTGCTGCCTGTATCAACAGGTCCATACATATATTTGTTTATTTTTGTTGTGATAAAAACACATAACATGAAGTCACATAACATGAAATTTTCTTGGCAAATTTTTAAGTGTTATAGTACATACTGTTAACTATAGGCACATTGTTGTGCAGCAGCTCTCAGAACGTTTTTTTCTTGTATGACTAAAGCTCAATACCCACTGAACAACAACTCCCCATATCCCCCGCCCCAACCCTTGAAAACCAACATTTTATTTTCTTCTTTTATGAGTTTGACTATCAGAGATACCTCATCTAAGTAAAATCATGCAGTTTTTGTCCTTCTGTGCGTGGCTAATTTCAAGCATTTTTATGACTCCTCAGAAAACCCCATTCCTATTATAAGTTAAGCTCCATCCCCTCCTCCCCAGCATCTGGCACCCACTAATCTGCTATGCCTATTGTGAACATGTCATATAAATGGAACCACACAGTATGTGGCCTTTTGAATCTGGCTGCTTTCAAGGAGCATAAGGTTTTCATGGGTCATCCACATTACAGCATGTATCAGTACTTCATTCCTTTTTTATAGCCAATCTTTCATTGTATGGCTGGCTATTCCACATTTTGTTTTCCATTCCTCATATGATGAACATTTGGACTGTTACCATTTTTTTGGGCTATTATGAATAATGTGGCTATAAACATTCTCATTCAAGTATTGGTATGAAATGTTATATATTGTTATTAACTATAATTTTTTTCCATATATAGTAATTTTATGTTTAATATTTTGAGGTAATGCCAAACTATTTTCCACATAGCTGCACCATTTTACATTCCTACCAGTCATATATAAGGGTTCCAATCTCTATGCATCCTCCCTTATCAAAACTTGTTATTGCCTATCTTCATTTTAACCATCTTCATTGGTGTGAAGTGGCATCTTATTCACTGTGGCTTTGATTTGCATTTCCCTACTGGTAATGATGTTGAATATCTCTTCATGTCTTTATTGGCCATTTGTATATCCTTTCTGGAGAAATAACCCTATGTGCTTTATCAGGTGATGTACCATATCAACTTTTTATTTTTTTTAGAGACAGGGTCTCATTCTGTACCTAAGCTGGAGTGCAGTGGCACCATCACAGTTCACTATAACCTCAAACTGCTGGGCTCAAGTGATCCTTCCACCTCAGCCTCCTGAACCTCCCGAGTAGCTGGGACTACAGGGTCATGCCACCACGCCTGGATAATTTTTTCTTTCTTTTTTTTGAGACAGAGTTTCACTTGGTTGCCCAGGCTAGAGTGCCGTGGCATCAGCCTAGCTCACAGCAACCTCAAACTCCTGGGCTCAAGCAATCCTCCTGCTTCAGCCTCCCAAGTAGCTGGGACTACAGGCACATATGTGCCACCATGCCCGGCTAATTTTTTTCCTATATATTTTTAGTTGGCCAATTAATTTGTTTCTATTTATAGTAGAGATGAGGTCTCCCTCTTGTTCAGGTTGGTTTTGAACTCCTGATCTTTAGTGATCCGCCCACCTCTGCCTCCCAGAGTGCTAGGATTACAGGTGTGAGCCACCACGCCCAGCCATAATTTTTCCATTTTTTGTAGAGACCAAGTCTCACTATATTGCCCAGGCTGGTCTCCAATTCTTGGCCTCAAGTAATCCTCCATCCTTGGCCGCCAAAAGTGCTGAGATTACAGGCACAAGCCACTGCACCTAGCCACCATATCAACTTTTAATTGGCTAGTAGTAATAAACTCTACATGACTGTGTGGCTTTCCTCCCACCCAACTCTCAAAATTAAGAGTATTTAAAAATGTACTTAAATATATGTTCATTTAAACATGCAAACATCACAGGGAACATACAACTGAAAATTAAAGTCTCAAATTCTACCCCATAGCACCACTAACCCTTATTCTCTAACTCTTTTTATCTGACTAGAAAACTAATCCATGTTCATTATAAGAAAGAAAAAATATCCATAACACTGTGTGTATGTATGTATGTACAAATAACTGCTAAGCACTTAACTATGTGCCAAGCACTATTTTCAAACACTTTAAAGTGTTTGCTATTTCATTCAATGCTAATAAATATACTAAAAATTATATTAGGCCTACTCCATATTTAGTTTTATATCCTCAACCTATTGTGAACACTTTTCTTTAAAAAATATAATTTTTAGTTGCAGAAAAATATTCCAATTTGTGATGGATTGTAAAGTAATCAACTAATCCCTCAATACTGGAGGGTTACAGTCGTTCGTTCTAGTTTTCCACTATCATAAACTCTACTTTTATACATCAAACTTCCATATTTAATATAATAGCCAGTGTTTACTGAGCACTTAGTAAGAGCACTGTGATAACCACACCACTTTTACGTGGATCTTTTCATTAGATTTGCATCACTCAATGGGATAGGAATTATCATCACCCCCATTTTGCAGATAAGGAAACTGAAGGTTGGAGAGGCTAAGTAACTTCCTTAAGGCTATAAAGCAAATTGGTGGTAAAGCCAAGATGAAAATGAGGTCTGTATGATCACTGAGTGGAGCCTTTAATCACTACACCATAGTTCGTATCTCCCATTATTTCTTTAGGATGAATTCCTGGAAGCAGAACTCTTAAAGATAACACTCTTTTTTAAAGTGTGATAAATGCTGCCATGTTACCCTTCAGTAAGATAATAATTTTTATAATGCTCATTTTCAAACGCTTAATCCAGCACTTTAAAAATTCATTTTCAATGTTCTAAAAAATGCCAGTTCATTTTCTATACATCTATGTAAATAAATATAAAATTAAGCTGCTCTAGACTATTGATACTTTTGTGATCACTTCCTCTAACAGACAAAGCATAGAACATGTTCTCCTAGCTGGGTAAATGACTTACAACAACAGAAAGGAGATTTTGCAAATTTACCACTCTTCACTGAAAACAAGAGAGTAAAATATGCTGCAGCGGCAGAGGGGACAAAAAGGGTAGATCAAGGAAGGCTGATAACATGTGAGTGTAGGACTGGACACAGGTAGCTGAGCCCACGCAAAGCACCTAATGAGTTGTCATCTTTAACATCAGATGGTCTCAAGTAACCAAGAATTTCACCTTGGCCATTTGTTCCTGATTTTATGGGAATGCCACTTGAAAAGGTACATATCAAGGTAGAAAATTTAAAAAGACCTCTCAGTTCACCCAGGTGAACTCTGCCCTCCTTTTTATCCCCAATCATCCCCATGCCACTCCCCACCTCTACACACTATCAAGTTGTGGAGCTGAGATGAGGGGCTATAAATCACTCCAGATCCCCCAATAACTCACCAGATAACTTGTACTCACTCCTCCAGACTCAGACTGTGTATTCCCCTCCCTCTGGCAGCTGTTCCCAATGAGCCCAGCCACTGGAGCCATTTCTCTGTGTTCCCACTGTATTCTGAGCTTCCCTCGCTTGCTTCAAATGTCTCCCTGCTTTGTAATTGTTGATCTACTTCTTCAACTAGATTTTCAACTATGCTGCTTTGTAATTGTTGGTCTACTTCCTCAATTAGATTTTCAATCTGCTAAGGGTGAGCACTGTTTTTGCTGCCACACCAGTATACATGGCAGTGGCTGGGAACAATAGGCTTTCAGCACATTTTCAAGAATAAATTATATTGAGTTGGATCAAGCAAACTGGAAGCCAATTTCACCTAAACTTTCTATCTAGTTAGTTCCCTTCTCTGTTCTCTGGGAGATCAGAGAAAGGAACTATTAAAATAGAGTGAGCAGTTATCAGGTGCCTAGTACATCACACACATTAACTCAAGCAACTCTCACAATAATCCACTGAAGCAGGAAATACAGCCCCTATTTTATAAACGAAAACATTAAAGCCTTACTTTGCACACATAGCTAATACGGCCAGAATCTAAACCCAGGTTGTGATTCTAAGACTTTGCTCTTTCTATTCCATCAGGCGACCTGGTCTCCCCTTCTGAAACTCACAGCTATATAAACTAGAAGAGAAAGGCTACTCTTTCAGAATTGTTAGTTTAAAATCCCCAGAAGTAAAAATTCTCCAACTTGTCCTGGAGGAATCTGGCTAGGCAACAAAGAGGAGAGAGGGAACCTAGGAAGGAACATGTAGGAAAAGGGGGGTAGTAAACTAAAATTACAGAATACTTCCCTACTAATCTAAGCACCACTTGGGGTGCTCTGACCTTCAACGTGACTTTTTTTAACTGTCCTAAGCCTGAGAAATTTTTTGGCCAAGTACCCTAGATTCCTATGGCACTGTGATACCATAAGAGAAGAAAAAAATAGAGACACTGTAGTATATAAGAAGGAATACGAGGGATATAGGGCTCTCATTCTGATGAATAATAAGTGGTGCAAATGTAGCTAAGTCTGAGCCATTAAAATTCTCTGAAAACCTCCATCTCCTAATTTCTGAACTGAAAAGATTAGGCTGTGAGTTTCCAACCTGGCTCTGTATCCAAGTAACCCCCTGAGCCTATGGAAAATACTGATCTCTAGATCCCATCCTCATTCTGGTTTAGTTATACCTGGAGTGGAACTTAAGAAATCCCCAGGTAATTTATAGGCTCAGCCAAGTTTGAAAACACCTGGGTGAGACAGTCTGTGTCTGCCTCACTCTCCCCGCTTCCAGGAGAGCAAAGTGTGAAAAGACAGACAGGTGACTCAGCATATTAAGTCAGCATATTAAGCAAGACTACCAAGAAATAGCAATCTAATGCTATAAATCTCAATAATCCCTTCCTGTTTTAGGGTAAAGTGAGTTATGCTCAGTTTTCTCAACTGGTTAAATCTGTTCTACCAATGCACTAGCTTTAAGAACACCAAAAACTGCACTGGTGGGGAATACAAACTTTTTTTTTAATTGCTAGAGTTACTCTGGAGGTATTAGCTGCCATGATCCTCTCGTGCTGCTAGATCATTAGGTTCCTCTACTCCTTTAAAGCTCTTCTGAGGGTGAACTACTACCAGAAGATTTTAAGGGCAGATGGGCAGCCTGCCCTGGAGTTTGAATAATATCCTACCTTGACATCTAGCTTGGCCACGTGCTGTAAAACCCAGATGCGATGGGACCAGGCATTATAGTTGCTTGGGTATCTCCCTGCTGCTTCACCACAGACCTCCATCTCTTCTTGTATTAGCCGAAGTGTCCTTTCTGCAGGAATTGTTCCCAAGTTTCCTTTGGTTACAAAGGAAGGCAAGGAGGTTTCCTGAATTAGCTGTTGTAGCACCCATCTCCTGTTAAGGTACCATGTGGGAAAGGGAACAAGGAAAGACCATAAACCACAGAGGAAAAACAACTAGTTTTTGTAGTTCTTAATTTAATTTCCATTCACAGACAAGGCAAAATAATATCTATCTATAAGCCTAGTTTTGGGGAGATAGGGAGGGGATATTGTTTTGTTGTTTTTAAAGACAAACAGCAGTATGGGTGAAGGTGGTGGGGTGGGGAAGATACACAGAAAAAAAAAACCCTTCTAAAACTTAAAAATTTGTTACAATGAAATGTCATTAGTTCTAAAATAATAACTGCATAATTTCACCTGGCCAGGAAATGTCAAGGCAACTGTTCTGTGCTTTCGTGTATGTGTGTGGTGGTGGTGATAGTAATGGTGAGGGAGTATAAATTATGGCTGTTAGATATTAGAGTCATAGTTCACACATTTTTAATTATATATGAATGCATTACTCTGTGTATTTGTTTGCAAACAAGAAAATGCATTGTAACAGCTTTCTTTAAGCAAAATTTCTATATTATAGCATAAAATCTGAAAGAGAACAAACACAATACAAATTAGATAAATCATTAAGGAGGTTTCAAATGTCTTTAAAAACAGATTTTCCTTTGGTCTATTTAAGATTTGCATTAGTATGCATTTAAATTGAAAGCACTAAGAAAGTACTTCTAACCACTTAACGTCTTTAGTTTGTACAAATATTTTCCTCAGATGAAAGCAATCTTTTAAACTAAAAAGAAAGTAAGAATATTATGTTGTAAATTAATCATACCTGTGAATCCATGTTTCTGGACTCTTTGGAAACTTAGTTAAGGCCAGTTTTCCCAGATGTAAATCTTTAATTGGATTTAAAGTGCCAGAGAGGATCAGCTCTTTCCTGTAAAAGAGAAATTAAAAAAAAAAAAATTACCCTTTTATCAAAACATTCTGCATGGTTTTTAATATAACCTCATTGTATTAAACTTGTACAGACTTTTTTTCTTGTCATTCCCTAAACAATAGTATAACACTTTACAAAACATTTATGTATTAGGTATTATAAGTAATCTAGAGATGATTTAAAGTATATGGGAGGATATATATAGGTTATATGTAAATAATATAGCATTTTATATCACAGACTTAAGCATTCTCTGATTTGGATATCTTCAGGTGGTCCTGGAACCAATCCTCCACAGATGCCAAGGGACAATAGTAATTGCATTGGAGCTTTGGTTGGGATTGAATAGTTTGAAACAACAAAAGCCTTACATTTCTATTACTTCAAAAAGGAATGGCCTAGTGTATCAAGGGTCATGGCAAGTATTTACATAGTAATGCCTCTTTGGAAACTTATCCTAAGTAAGAGTACAAAAGAAAGAAGTCATAAGCACAAAGTCCCCCCTACCCCCCAGTTCTTTTAAAAATAGCAAAAAGTTAGAAACAACCTAAATATCTAACACTAAAGGAAAAGGTCATTAAATTATTAGCATAACCACTGAATGAAAACTATTTGATTATTTAAAATGTTCATTACAAAGATTAAATAGAGCCATGGAGAAATTCTTAAGATGCAGTGAGGACAGGATATAAAATTATATGTTAAAATATATATGTATATAGGGAAAGGTAGAAGGGAAAATTCAAATTCAAAAATACAAATAGTAATTTATTTTATTTTATTTATTTTTGGAGACAAGAGTCTTGCTCTGTTGCCCCGGCTAGAGTGCTGTGGTGTCAGCCTAGCTCACAGCAACCTCAAACTCCTGGGCTCAAGCGATCCATCCTCCTGCCTCAGCCTCCCAAGTAGCTGGGACTACAGGCATGCGCCACTGTGCCCAGCTAATTTTTTCTATATATTTTTAGTTGTCCAACTAATTTCTTTCTATTTTTTAGTGGAGACGGGGTCTCACTCTTGCTCACACTGGTCTTGAACTCCTGACCTTGATCCGTCCTCCTGCCTCAGCCTCCCAGATGCTAAGATTATAGACATGAGCCACCACACCCGGCCAAAAATAGTGATTTTGCTAGTGATTAAATGAATGTATTTTTCCTTATAAACCAGTCATATTGTGTTTGTTTTATGTGTGGTTTTGTAATGACCTAAACCATATCAAGTCCTGTTTTGGAAGCTAGAGCAATTCTTGACTGATACTGGATTGGCTCTGTAAATACTGCTGTCAGGTGTCATAACTTTCGGAAATGAGATAGGCCAGAAGATCCCTTTGCCCTCTCCCAAATAGTCAACTGAAGTTCCAGTGTTGCTTTTAAGAGCTTCTCCTCCTGTTTATTAATTTGTTATTTTGAGATTATGAGAATATATTCTTGGTTACTGTGTGGGACATTTATGAGAGTTTCACATACCAGAATGGTTTTAGGTTTGGGTGTTTTTATTTCTTTTTAATTCTTGGAAATTTCCTTCACAATGAGGTTCTTTGGGTTGGAGATTTTTAGTCTAAAAGATTGCTTTCATATGAGGAAAATATTTGTACAAGTTTAATACAGATGCAATTTTTTCCAAATATTTTCAATCTTTCGTTGGTTGAATCCACAGATGCAGAACCCAGGGATACAGAGGGTCAACTGTATAAAGAATGTCATATAAGAGCATTCTACCTATTTCTCAGGTAAATACAATTTATGTTAATTTCTCTGATGGGTTTTTGATAGGTACCAATATTACTGATTACACTACCAATTAATTCTCGTTGTATCTATTATTTTATAATAAAATAAGTTCATTTGCTAATATTTGTTCATCTTAAAATATCCTTCCTATGGTAGGGCTGATTATTCATTTATTTTGGAGAACTTGAAGCCAACAAAAATACCCCAGCTTTTACTGCTCACCTATTAATATTTAGACAGATTTAGTTCATAAATACAATAGATTTTCTTTCTAATAGCAATGTACTATTTCTAAACTTTTATTTGATAAGGAAACTAGCTTCCTTTTTAATGTAAGTACTAAACAGGGATAATAAATGCTTGCATTTTATAATTATTTTTAGGTAAGTAACTTTATCAAATAATTTGAAGTAATATTCAAAAGGATTGTGGCCACTTTGATGAATGAATTTATTGGTTGCTTTCCTTTCACTGTATAGGAAACACATGCCATGTAAAAAAATTTTTTTGATGCAACAGCCAAGAGCTTTTGAAGTTTTAGACCTTTTTGTCCTCTGAAATCAGTAATACTTTGTTTACACAGTAAGTCAGGATACCTATGAAGTAAAAGGAGACAAAAAATTGTTCTATGTAATTTAAACTACTTTGTGGAGTAGTGTTTCTCAAAGTGGAGTGCCTGACTAACATCAGCATCATCTGGATTCTTAGTAGAAATGGATTCTCAGGGCTCAGCCCACACCCACTGAATCGGAAACTCAGGTGGGCAAAGCAATCTGTGTTTTACAACAAGCCCTTCAGGTGATGCACATTAAAGTTTAAAAATGACTACTGCAAAGAATTTATTATATTAAGCTTAATTTCAATTTACTAAATTTAAGACCTCTTATTATTTACAACTGCCTATCTGTATTCCCATGTATACTCATATGTAAGAGGAGACAATCAAATTTTCTTCAGAAAAGAGGGAGTCTCCTTATAACTAACTCTTTATGAAGTTTCTTAAATTATGGACACTCTCTTAATTCTTTATTTCAACAACCAAGTATTATTTCAACAACCAAGTAGTAGTATTTTGGGAAGACATCTTACCCTGAAACAATTTCATCAATGGTATATATGAACACTTAAAGAGATCACCTGATAGAATAATTTAAAACAAAGCAACATTTTAATATAAATTTAATAAACATTCCTGGGGGCAGGCTTGATCATTTGTAAGGGCAGGATCTTGTTGTAAGCAAGTTTTTTAAAGATCGTTTTAAAAAGATATTAAATATATGGTAAGTGGTTAAGTTATGGTGATCACATAACCTTGATTTCAGGCATATTCTTTAGTTTTTACCAAATGTCTTTTTCTATTCTAGGGTTCCCTTCAGGATACATTACATTGGGTTATTATATCTACTTAGGCACCTCTTGGCTCCTCATATTTACCTTGTTTTTGGTGGTCTTGACAGTTAAGAGAATACTGGTCAGGTATTTTGTACAATGTTTTTCTTATCATTAGACTAGGGATATGGGTTTGAGTGAAAGACCACAGAGGTAAAGTGTCATTTTCATTTCATCCAATCAGAGGCACATAGTATCAACATAACTTATCACTGTTGATCTAGATTATGTGGCTGAGGTCAGGTTTTTTCAGTACTTTTTGGAAGAAAGTCATTATGATTTTCTACTTCAGTGCACAGCCCACTCTTAAGAAGTACAGAGCTATGCTACAACCTCCTTGAGAAGGGTTATCTAGGTAAATTAATGGGATATCATTTGTCTCTTGTCTCTTATTTATTTATGCATTCATTCACCCATTCATTCCAGTGTGAACTTATAGATATCCATTTTATACTCTGGGATATAATCCAATACTATGTTACTTTTTTTGTTGTTCAAATCATTCCAGCTTTGGCCACTGTAAGCTTTTCAGTTGGCTCCTGCATCCCTTTAATATATTACCAACAGATTGTTTTTTAAGGACTTTCTTACTTTCCGGCTCTACAAGATGTTCCAGGCTCATCTTGTATACTTCCTGCCCTGGTCTAAGAATCAACCATTTCTAAAACCATTACAGTGTTAGAAAAAATAATTTCATATGGTTCAACCTACTAATATCTCAATATTACAGATAAGAAAACTGAGTCTTGGAGGAATTTAATACCATGCTTGAGGTTTCCTAGCTCAAAGTGTCAGAACCAAACATCAAATCTGCATAAAAAAGTTACCAACTTAAATCAATATAGGCTATGAGTAAAGACATGAAAGAAACACTGGAGTTTTTGGTGTCTAGTTGTTCAAAGATGTTTTGCTTATTTTAAGTAGATAGACTGATGAAAAAAATAGGACATTATTATGAAGTCAACCTCTTTCATCAAGCAATCACCAATTTTCAAAGCAAATTCAAAGCAAAAAGCAGCAGTCATTTTTTTAATAACCAGCTGAAATTTCTAACTATGTGCATCACTCACTATAATCACAAGAGATCAGCTCAAAAACTTAGCCCCTATTTTTTTTTCCCCTAAGACCACAACACCTGCAAATTGAACTAGAGGTGTATTATTTATACCATATTTTAACAGTTTGAAAAACAAGTCAGAATCACTCAACATCTTCCAGATTACTGCAGAAGAAATAACCAACAACGAAACATAAAGTGCTGAGTATCTGATCTGCAAAGAGACTTTACAGGGTTAGAGCAGTTTACTTTCAAAGTTTTGCTCTAAATGTATCCATGATTCTGTTTTCATATGTCAATCAATCTTACTGATACTAATTAAAATTTACTAGAATACATATTCATAATAAATTTTTTAAAAAAATCAAGATTCCCTTTCTACTCGTCTAACATAAAACTTTACTAATTATTTTACTACAATAACTTTCAAGATTAACTATTATAAACACCACTGAAGTTAGATTAACGGAGCAATTTCCCTTCGTAAGACAAAATCACACATAATCAAAAAAGAGTTTGAAAAGAATCATGGAAAATTCGCCTAGTTCAAATGTTTTATTTCACAGAAAAGAAACTAACTCCTGAGAAATTAAAGGTTTTGCTTACAATTAAACGCTAGTTAACTGATGAAAAAGGACTAAGTTCCTGAATTTTAAGACTAAGTTTTTTTCTCTTATGCTGAACTGTCCTATAGAACAATGAATAATGTGTGTGTACACATGTTACAGATATATGTGTATATATATGTACATATATACATTATGCTAGTAAGAATTTTTTGCTGAAGGATTTCTAATTCCTCTCTATTGATGAGGAATGTGAGAACATGAATAAAAATGGCACTCCCACTTCTCTATCATCCTTTCTTTTTCACTGAATTTGATTTGTTTTCAGTGCCCAGTTTGCAAACTGCATATCCATTATGTGACAGGCACTACAGTTTGATACTACGGAAACAAAGGAAAAAAAAAATCATGGTCCCTACCCTCAAGAAAGCTCTCAATTGAAAGTTCATGGTACCTTCCTAAAAGTCTCCTTTGCTGATTCTTCCTCATCTTGCAAATGCTAGAACAGTGCTGTCCAATAGAAATATAATGTGAGTCACAAATGTGAGCCATATATGTGATTTTAAATTTTCTAACAGCTATATTAAACACAAATATAAATATATTTTATTTACTTCAATACATCCAAAATACTATAATTTAAACAAATAATATAAATTATTAATGAGATATTTCATTTTTGGGGTACTTAGTCTTCATAATCTGATGTGTAGTTTACACTTACAGCACATCTCAACTGAGACTAGTCACATTTCAAAGGCTCAACAGCCATCTGTGGCTAGTGGCTACTGTATTGGACAGTGCTACTCTAGAAAACTGGAGCATCCCAGTGTTCAGTGTGTTTGGACTGGTTCTCTTCTCTAGCTGCAGCCATTCTTTTGGGGAATCACAAACAGTCTCAAGGCTTTAAAACCACATGCTAGTGATGCCAAAATTTTTGTCTGGCCCAGACCTTTCCCCTGAACTTCAGATTAATATGCAACTACTTATACATAAACCTAACATGTTCCAAACCAAATTCTTGACCTCTAACCAGCACCCTTTACCCTCAACCTAAATCTACTTCTCTTTCAGACATCCCCATTGCAGCAAATGGTAACTTTGTCCTTTCAGTTGCTCAGGGCAAAAACCAGAGTCAAACATGACTACCTTCTTTTTCACCCCACACACTTTCCATTGCACTGCAGTGCCTCTCAAATATGCCAACCAATGCCTTATGATTCAAACAATTATCCCAACTGCCTGTTACTCCCCCACCCCCCAAAAAGAAAAATAAATAAAACAGGTATCAAATAGTATACTACAATTCAACATGAGAATTTATGTTTCAGGCAAGAAAGTTTACAGAGAACAGACATAGATGTGCAAAAAGGGGCAAAGTGTATGTGTTAGAATCTTCATGGAGATGTTATAAAGAATAGGTAGAAGATATAAGATGTCATGGATATATGGTTTATATTTCCTTTTCAAAAAGCTAACAACTCAGGGGCTTATATGTCTTCAGAAATTGAACAAACTTCACCTTATCACTGATGAAAATGACATACCTACCTCACGTTCCATGCAGTGGTAAAGTCTGGGTTTAGAAGCAGCAGGGTGCATGTGACATCTATCAATTCTAAAATAAAGAGAAACCATATTAAAAACAAGCAGTTCTACTCTTTAAAGCCCAGCTTCTCTTTAAGGTTCTTTCGCTAGCTCATTATACTAATATATGTCATACCACATTAATTGCAATAACAAATACCCTGTTCTAAACTGTCAGGAATGTGAAAATTATCCTCAAGACTTTCTCCTACTTATGATAAGCATAACTCTTTTGGAAGTCGACAGTGAAACGATTTTACAATATACCTATAAAAAGTAATCTAATTAATCTCTTCATTCTTTTAGCAGTTTTTAGTACTACTTTAATATTTACCAAGGAAAAGAAATACAATTTCGGCCGGGCGCGGTGGCTCATGCCTGTAATCCTAGCACTCTGGGAGGCCGAGGCGGGCGGATTGCTCAAGGTCAGGAGTTCGAAACCACCCTGAGCAAGAGCGAGACCCTGTCTCTACTATAAATAGAAACATATTAATTGGCCAACTAACATATATATAGAAAAAATTAGCCGGGCATGGTGGCGCATGCCTGTAGTCCCTGCTACTTGGGAGGCTGATGCAGGAGGATTGCTTGAGCTCAGGAGTTAGTTTGAGGTTGCTGTGAGCGAGGCTGACGCCATGGCACTCACTCTAGCCTGGGCAACAAAGCGAGACTCTGTCTCAAAAAAAAAAAAAAATACAATTTCTATGCCACTATTCATTTCATTCCACAAATATCTTAAGTATTTACTATGTGTGCAAATTTTCAAAAGAAAAAAACCACTCATAACCCAACCCACTCAACATGATTCATGTATATTCTCCTACAAAAATTATCTTTTCTTGCACACATTTTACATGTAGCTACAGCAATGATAAATGTACAATTTTGTTGTGTTTTTCAGTCATTTTATATGCATTCTCTTATATTGCTACAGTATGTATTTTTAACAGTTGCATAACAATCCCTTACTTTTATATACTATCATTTATTCTTTAGGCTGTTTCCTGGTTTTTGTTTTTTGGTTTTTTTTACTGTTAAGATAATATTGCTATAAACATTTTTAAACAGACTTTTTGTCTTATAGATTATTTTCTTAAGATATATTTCCTAAAGTAGAAATATGACATCAAAAACAATATAAAAATCAGTATGGTTCCCATTAAGCATTTCCAAATTGTCCTCCAAAGGGACTGTATCTATTTATACTACTACCAAGAATAATATGAGTGTACTTATATCCCTATAACTGTCCTCTATAATGACACTTAAAAAAATGAGTGTGGTAGATAAAAAATTATACTTTGTTTCTATTTTAATTTACATCTTAATTTACATTTATTAATATGAACATTTTTTATCTTTGTATACTACTTATAGTTCATCTTATAAACAGGCTATTCATATTCATTAACTATTTATCTATCATGGTCTTGACAGAAATTCTTACATATTTAAATAAACTGTATATGTCTGTATTTAAAAGAACAAAATCAGTAAAAATTACACATACTTTCTTTGCTTTACTAAAATTAAAAAGAGAATTTGAAGATTATCAATCTAGCGGCATAATACTAAATTAAGGCAACATTACCAAGCTCATATTAAATGCCAAGTAAATAAAAGAATGAAGACAATCATTACTACTGTGTACTAGCCATGGTATTAAGTACTTTATTTACATTATTTCATTGAATTCTCACCATTACAGCTCCAAATATTCTTATATCATTTTATAGATAGGGAAACTAAGATTTACAGAGTTTAAGCAATTTGCCCATAGTCACCCAATTAGCATGCAGCATGGTCAACATCTGACTGCTTTTAACAAATCAATTATACTGCAGTTGAAAAATCTGCCTACAGTAAATAACTAGGACATTTTCAGTGTTCAAGTAAAAGATAAACTTTTAAAATCTAAAATCACATGAAAATACACCCTATAGTTATTTTTAAATATTCTACTTCGCAACAAAATCAATTATTCTATTCTCACCATCTGAATAAGAGGTAAACATTAATTTTGAGCTCATGATTTCATTGCTACTGAGTACAATGTAATATTCAATAAATGAGCAACAAACAGTTTGATCAACACACGTTTATTTTTGACCTCCATCCTACTTCTTACAAGCCATTACATGTATAAACACAATCTGCCTATAAAGAATAATCAAATTAACCTCTTCATTCTTTTGCTTTTAGTAGTTTTTGGCACTAATACTTACCAAGAAAAATAAATATAATATTCTATGTCACTATTCATTTAACTCCGAAATATTCCAAGAATTAACTTGGGCAAAGATCAAACTGGGCCCTTAGGACTGATAGAATGGATATAATGACATATAAGCCTGATTTTTGCCCTCTAAGTTGGAGAGAACATATAAACAAATAATTATAGTGGGCAAAATGAAATAATTATGATGCAGAAGCATGTACTACATTTTGGGACCCACCATTATAGCTGCAATTAATTGTTGCTGGAGTACCCCTGGAGGACTGTAAGTGAATAAAGCAGTAAAGGTGCTGCCTTACCATACTGGAAAAAGTCTAAGCAATGATAAAGAGGCATGGCACTTCACACACAATCTGCTCTCTAAGAGATTATGGGTACCAGAGTGTCACTACAGCACAGGGTGTGGGAAACATGTGCCAGATGTTTCCCGCACCCTGTGCTGGAACCTGGTCTCAATCTCATCAGCTGAGCCATCCATTACTTTCCTTCACACACTGCATTCCACCCCAACCAAACCCCACCATCTTCTGAACACACTGTCTACCTGCCTACCTTCTCTTCACTGAACATAACTCAGGACTTACCTACTTGTTATTCTTTCTGCCAGAAATGTCTTACCATCTCTGAATATTAAAAAAATACATTTTTTTTTTATTTTGCAAAAGCTCTTTAAATACCTTTCTCCATAAAGGCTCTTCTGACCTACCAAGCTGGAAAAAATCTTTCATCTTACTTTACACAATCTTTATGTGTATCTTAGTTGGTTACTTACATAAATATCCTCTTATTCAGATCATAAATTCTTTGGAAGCAAGTCCTCCCTAATACATCTTCAAATTACTTACCCACTTAAGAAGTTTTGTGAGCATCTTCAACAAGCCAGGTACTGAGCTGGGTTAAGATGCATTAAGATTTGGTCCCTCCCCAGAAGCAGCTCCAAGGAATCTTAAGAGCATATGCCTTTCTTAAAACCACACCATGTGGGTTTGAATCCCAACTTCTCCACCTACTACCCACAGAATATAACCTCTTGGGACCTCAGTCTCACCTGTAAAATGGGGATAGTAACATCAACCTCACAGTGTTGTGAGCCGCTGCGACTTACCAACCAAGAGATGAATATTTTTAACAGCAATTATTCAAGGAAGTTGAAATAATGAGGCAGTTGTTCCTATAATAAAACCGTCTAAATTTCTAAACTTGTAAAATAAATGGCAATAACAAAAAAACCACTTAGTAGTCAAGTAGTTATATGGAAAAGTTGATATATGATGGGAAAGCCTCTGAAATTTCTTTTGACATATATAATTTTTCAAAATGCCATTATATTACATAGGTAAATCAGTACTTAGTCCCTTGGACTCTCCCTTTCCACATTAAAGAGAAAACATGTGTGATCAATGGCAGATGCCATTCGTTTGTACTTCTACGACAACTCTCCTCCCTGCCGCTGTAAGTGAAGACAAGTTTATCCTCCACGAGAAGACTTCTGTACTGCAGCACAAGGCAAAAACTAACAAACACTGCAAATACTTAAGCCTCGCCTTTCATTTTGTGGCTGTGTGAAGAGAGAGGAAAGCTGATCAAAGTGTTGCTTCCTTTACTGGCAGGTCTCCCCCAGAAGGGCAGTAGTAGTTGTTGGGTTTAAAGGCCAACTCCACTGGTTATGAGAGTTCTTGGGAAAATCACTTAATCTCTCTGTGCCTAGTGTACTCCTCATCTGTAAAATGGAGGTATCATAGGAGTATCAGATGATTAAAACCCCTGGAATGTTAGGACAGCATCTGACATACAATAAGCACTGAATGATAATTCCTGTTACAAAACCTGTATCTCCTAGCCTAGTTCCACGAGTGGTACTGGGACTGGATGCCTCCTAACCATCAGTGGTGCCTAGTAACACATACAACCAGGGGCCCTCCCTCCTCTTTGACAAACTGCTAAAGCTTCCTGATTCAGGACTCAAGCCCAGACAGGATCTCCTTCAGGAAGCACTCCAGTCAGATAAAAGAGCTGAGTGTGAAGTGGAATGTCAGAAAAATTAAAGGACCAGAAGGAACTAGGTTAAAAATAACTGGACATAATTAAAGAACCAGATCCTCACAACAACTCCCTGAAGTACTGATTAGTATTCCCATATTTTGGTGTGGATATAGGAACAAAGAGGTTAAGTAATTTGCCAAAAGTCACTGCTAAGTGACTTCAGTGTGCAGATGAGGTGAATTTGAATCCAGGTCTGTTGTCCTGCAAAGCAGATGCTCTTTCTATTCTAGCACATTGTAGGCAAATATTTTGCCCTCTACAGCTCAGGACCAAACCAAAGACCTAAAGATAAATATGTACAACCAATAGTTGATTGTAACTATTTCACTCTCTAAATTTCATCAACTATATATCACTTGCCCTGCAGTTTCACTCAAAAGATAAGCACAATCCCTACAGTCTCTTGAAATTAAACAAGTCTCTCTCCAAACACCAGAGCATATACCAGCAAATAAATTTTCCTTTGTTACTCACACTCTAATGTATGACTAACCCATCATCACATCACAAGGAAAAAAAGGAATCAGCGCACAATATACGTAGGAAATTAGCTAAATACCAACTATAACAAGGAGAGGATAAAAGGATGCTACAGAAGTCAGAAAAACTCAATATGCATTCATTGCTACACTGCATTCTAGAAACAGCCCAAGGCCAGCAGGCGCCCTGGTAATGGTCACTGAGTTTGACAACAGTCTCTGACAGAGAAAGGTTTTCATGAAATAGGAATAAATCGAAGGTCAACTTGGACCAATTAATCTCTTTCTCCAAAATACCTTCAGGACACCACAAGAGAGAGGCTTGAGGTAAAGCTACATGGTAAACACCAGAGGCCTTGTTTATTACAGTACAGTCACTGAATCAATAGCTAGACCAAGCTAAAAACTCTTTTGCTTAACTCTTGTTACTTACCTGACAAATGTCTGTTGAACATGTAAAGATGCTTAATAAACAAAGAAAGAAGAGCCATAATCCCTGTTCCTAATAAACTCACAATACAGCCAGGAAAAAGTTTTTAAATAATCAACTATGATACAGTGTGATGTGTTATTATGTAGTCTGAATAAAGGACTCCCATAAGAGAGCAAAGAGTAATTATTGCTTCCTGAAGCAGTCAAAAATGCTTCATAGTGTTGAGTCTCTGTGTGTGGGCGTGTGCAACCACACCGATGACAATAACGTAAGACATGAGCCTGGCCTCAGCAAGGGCATGGAAGTAAGGCAGTAGTACACAGCAAAGTCAAATGATGAAACAATACAGGTTATGGCTGGAATGAACACATATCAAATAGCTATAAACACAAATACTTCCACGGTTCAAGAAAACGTCAAAGCAGCAAAGCAAACCTGATGAGAAGTTGCAAGTGACACTCTGCCTCAGTATCTGAAGGGTGAGAAGAGGTTGTGATAAACAGGAACAGACTTTCCCAGTTAAGAAAAGCAGAGGCTATAAGCCCTGGCCAACTATTACCATGCAGAAAGCTGTACACCTAAGCTGCCTAATTTTTCAAATGAAGACAGACTTCAAGATTTTCATCCTGATTTTAAACATTCACCCAACTAATTAAAAACATGTTTTAAAACATTATACAAGCTACAACAAAATGTATCTGTCGACAAGCTTCAGCCTCAGGGCTAAGAATCTGCAACCTCTGATGTTGAATATAAAATGGAGAAAAGGCTGGTGATGGAGGCTGGGGACAGGTCGTGAAGGGCCTTGAATACCTAAGGAATCTGAACTCTACACTGACCCACAGGCATCATGAAATAGGATGAACAGACACATATTTCAGAAAAGTATCTCTCAAACTGTTTGTAAAAAATGTTGCTGGGAAGTGTTTGAAATGATTGGCTAGTGACATGATGGACATGGATCACAAAAGAACCTGGAAATGGGATGAGTTTGAGGTAATAACATTTGTCCATATGAGAAATAGTGAAGGCCTGGCCAGACAAAGAAAAGGAGAGCAGAAGATGGCTTTTAAAGAGAGAGTCAGTTATGCACTGAGGGGATATAGTGAGAAAAAGAGAAGGGCAAAAAAGGATGACAGCAGGAAAGCACACTTGAAGAGAGAGAGTGTGAGAGAAAGCTCTGCCCAGTCAGTACTCCAATGCTGTGGTCTTTTCTCTTGCTTTCTGTACCTGTCATGGATTTCTCAAAAATCAGAATTATAGTATCATTCCTTTTTCCTAAACCAAATATGGCTATTACTGTAATAAACTTTTATCTTTAACCAAACAGGGATGCCATCGTTTCTTGGCCTTTTGGCTAAGACCAAATGTAAACAGGGATGCTTTCCAATCACCTAAGGAATTTAGCAGGTTACTGAGAACTTGAATTCAGTTTCATTATGGGGGGAAAAAAATCTATCCCAGGAGAGCAGGTCACAGAATTCTTCACAGAATTCAGTTACAGAATCTTAGGTAGATTACTGGGATTCTGGCATGATCAATCACACAGACACTGACATTCTGAAACTGTCCTATAAACTGTCAGCTTTCTTCATTTGGCTCTTCTTATATGTATAATATTTTCTACAAAAATGGTTTCAAAGGTGTATTTTCATGAAATAACTGCTTTTTCATAATATTTTTGAAATGTTTCTCTTAGCAAGATTCATCTCTGTGCTCTAATTGCTTCAGTTCATAAATTTGCCAGAATTATATTAGTCAGCATTTTCAGGTATCTTTTTCTGTCAAACCAGAAATTCACTACCTTATTTTTACTGCTAATACGATATGCAAACCTGAGTAGTATGTGACACTAAACTATGCTCTCCCTACCCACTTTCTAAAAAGTGAAAACTGCTTCCATGAGGATATAGGTTAGAATAAAATCAAAAGCTGCTTCTGTACACAGGCACAGTTGCATCAGAATTCAAAGTTTAGATGCCAGACATTCGTCAGAGTGCTTTACTAATTTCATCTTCTGCCTGGGTCTTCCTGGGCCTATTAAGACTAAAAGTACATAGTGAGGAGACAACAGCAAAGCCTGTAGTACAGCGACCAGGAGGACAAGAAACAGGGAAATGGAGAAAAGAACTTGGAAGGCCACAGGAAGGTAGACTGAGAGGTAGCATGCATGAATGGGCAACTATAGCCTTTAACATTTTAAAATTTTTGTTTCTTCTCTACAAGATAATCATTCTAACTCTCTGCTAAAGTTAGTTATGCATTGGCTCAATCACACATTTCTGTGCACCAGAACATAACCAATACAGATTTGGCAAAAAATAACTTGAGGGATTAATGTTATTTTTTACCTCAGTGTTACCGAAACCTATGGCATGGTGGTGGAACAGAGAATTAAAGAGGGTCTAACAATAGATAAATACCCTTACCTTTACATTTATGCCTAAACTGATGCCTTAAAGTTTATGCCATAAACTTAGGCATAGCCACCTATTAGTAATTAAGAAATATATATCAGAGGACTGAGTGTAACAATCACATGCAGAAAACAGAAACTACTGCTCACTAAATTTTCAAATCATACTCCTTTTCTATGGTCTAAACAGGGAAAAGTGCTATCATGACAGTATGTTAAGGATAGTGCTGAGAGAAATTCAAGGAAATCAGTATGTCATACCTTTGGCAACACTCTTCTCCATAGCTCCCACCCCTAAAGAGACTGTCACTCAACTGTAAGATACTTGAAAAAAGAGACCATGTATTATTCATCTTTTTATCCCCCACAGTACTCAGAACAGCTTCTGGTATGAGTAGGCCCTTGGTAATGGCTACTAAACTGGCAATTAAAATTCTCTAGGAAACAAAGTTCTTATTCAAAATCAGCCTCTGGGCATACTGAGCACTTCTGAAGGTACTGCTGTATGTGGGAAGGGGAAGAGGCTCTACGAAAACAGTAGTCTTAGATGAGTATGCTCCCAAAAAGTGAGACCCGAGGTGAGCCTTAAAACGATAAACAGAATTTGTACACACAGAGGCAGAACACTAAGAAAAGAAATGAGGTAGAATGATTAGGGATTGTCTGATGCAGTAAAGAACTGTCTCAGAGGAATGAAGAAATGACTACTGGGGTGGATTTCTTTTGCTCATTTCAGCACAGGAACAGGACAGAGAGAGCCAGAGCTCAATTGGGATTCACAGTGCAATGGCACACTCATAAATCATGGGGTTCACAGTATAGCTACCATCATCATGCCTCTGGTACCTCATTTGGACTGCTGCAAAAGTGAGTTCTACTGGTCATAAACTACTAAAGGACTAGAAATCAGAAACTGATCTCATAGGGAATACAGTACTCTTCAGTGACATTTAAGCTCTTTTTTAAGCCATAGGATGTTCTCTTTGAATAAAATCTTACAATGACCCCAACACATAAACAGATAAAATCAGAACTGTTCTGGTTGTAGGAGGTGACCTGGAATACTGCTTGAGGCATTTCCATAAAATCACTATAGATGCAAAATTTGAAAACTACAGGTCTAGTCCAAAGGCCTCACTTGACAGAAAGGTTAAGCACCCACCCAGAGAAGAAGAACCAGAACTAAAATCTAGGAATGCCAACACCCAGACAAGGGCCCTTCCTACTGTATCCCATGTTGCTTCTAAAAACTAAATGAAGAAGAGACTGTTCACACTTACCATCTCTGTTCAGCCATTGTTTTCTCGTTCTGTACAAAAGGAGCTTGTTGTGGACATATGGTAAAAGGAACTTGACACACCAGCTCTCCACACCAAGTTTGTTTTCAACCAGGACTATGGGACTCCGGTTATACCTAGCTTCAGGACATGGGATCAGGCCAATTTCATCTCTTAAAATGTAAAACAAACAATGAAAAAAAGAATTAAAGATAAGAATACTAGCTTTTTCAAAAATTTTCTAATCCCACAGAATATTTTTTAAAAATCTATATATATTTATATATTTCCCTTCCTTAAAAACATTTAGCTTACTTACTGGATTGGTAGAAATTAAAAAAACAAAAAACTAGTTTGTTAACGCTGGCAAGAGCATGGGAAAACCAGTGGTATGTTGTACTCTCGGCTGATGGGAGTGAAAATTGGACTTGTCTTTGAACAGCAATTCAAAAATGTCTTTCAAAAATTTAAATGCACATACCCTTTGATCCAGCAATTCAAGTGCTCAGAAATGATCCCATGCCAAAATATATGAATAAGATGTTCACTGTCATGGTGCAACAAAACTGGAAATAGTCTGATAAAATAAACATGGCCCATCCATGTGATTGAGCTGTTAAAAAATACAAGGTAGATCGCATATGCTGGTATGGAAAGCTCACTAAGTTATATTAAATGAAAAAAAAAAAAGCAAAATGCTGAACACGGTACATAGCACAAAGTCTTCTACATAATTTCTTTACAAGATATATAGATGCATTCAAAAATTTTAGAGGGATAATAAGAAACTTTTGGAGAGAGAAAGGTATTGAGGAAGGATTTTATTTTATACAGTTTAAATTGTCTAATCACTTGTACTATTATTTCTATTTTTTAAAAACGTCAACAAATGTGTTTATGCTGGCTTGCTAATAAATCTATGTGGAGTAGAAACAAACTAACAATAAACGTTATCTTAGTGAGATCTTGGGCCATTTTTTTTCTTCTTTATACTTTACTAAATTAAAAAAGCAACTCTAATCAATGTTAAAAAAAAAACCCACAAATTACATTTCAGATTTTGATAATTTTCATCTATATCCTTCAATCCACACCAATTTAAGCCAATTTACATCACAGGCAGAGATTTCATAAACATTATACAGGGGATTTGACTTACATAGTAAATGAACCAGCAAACATAAAAATGTTTTTGCAAAACCTATACACACCTTTCAACTATAAAGGAAGACATAATTCTTGTATACATGAAGCATCCTTTCCCAAACAGAATGTCCTGTTTTAATGAGTAACAAGAAACCTTTTAACAAGAGTAGGTGCAATATTATTTTTAGAGTGTCAATAGAGATTCTTTAAACATGTCTTTAGAAAACAGAATAAGGAACTATTTTTCAGAGTTTGTGTGCGACTTAATCTGTTATGTCCCTGGGATTCCCTTGCCAAGAAGATAATAGTTTGACAGATGGAAAAAAGGGGGAAACTTGTTCAATTACAGGTTATAAGAAATACCCTTTTTTTTTGTTAGGCCACTATCACAAATTGGTAGCACCTGTGGATCTAAAATAAATTCCCTCCTGAAAACTCTAAACTGGATAGCTCAGAGGTAACCTACTTTCTACTAATCACTTCTTTAGTGACATAGGGATATATCAATAAACAAGGGTACCCCAGGGGTTGCAATTTACTAATAATTCTTTCAAGCTAACTTAACTCTCAAGTATATTTTGGGACCTATGGCTTTTTGTCCTGACAACTAGTTCAGCTGACTCCAAGATGTTTCAACACACCATGTCAATACTATCATACGTTTTCTGAGTACCTATTAGTAACGATGCACTGGGTAATTTGTTAGGTTCTGACACAAAAACGAATAACATAAAGTGGTCTCAGACTTTGAAGAGCTTAACAGATTTACTGGGGATTTGTGTCAATATCTACAATAAAACGTTATCATTTTACCATTCCAGTAATAAAGTTCTGTAGGAAAAATCAGGACAATGCTGAAAGAGCACCTGAGGTCAATGCCTAGTATTTCAAAATATGTTTTTTTTGTATTTATAGTTGATGATATTAACCTGAAATCTATCTAATTCACTATTGGAAAAACTAGCCACATCTAACTATACTTGACTAATACATGACCAAATCTCTGGGGTTCTTATTTTACTATCTAAAGAACATTTATTTTTCTGGAGTTCTTATTTTACTATCTAAAGAACATATATAAAATAAACTAAAATTACTTTTTTTAAAAAAAACCACTCAATGTAATTATTTCAGGAAATTCTGTTCTCTGAGATCTACTAACCATTTATGACACTTCGAAGAACTGCAAGAGTCAACAATATAAACATTATAGTAACAAAAATAAAACAAACCTAGCTTCTGGATATATTCTGTTTTGGGGAGGGATTTTCTTTAACTTAAATTCACAATGTAAAAACCTGTCCTGCTCACTAAACCAGAATTAAAATGCCCAACTAATAATCTGGTACCTCAATTACAAGAAAGAGCCATCTGCACAATTAAAAAACACACTGCTGCCAGGCGTGGTGGCTCACGCCTGTAACCCTAGCTCTCTGGGAGGCCGAGGCGGGCAGATTGCTCGAGGTCAGGAGTTCGAAACCAGCCTGAGCAAGAGCGAGACCCCGTCTCTACTATAAATAGAAAGAAATTAATTGGCCAACTAATATATATATATATATATATATACATATATATATATATATAAAAATTAGCCGGGCATGGTGGCGCATGCCTGTAGTCCCAGCTACTTGGGAGGCTGAGGCAGAAGGATTGCTTGAGCCAGGAGATTGAGGTTGCTATGAGCTAGGCTGACGCCATGGCACTCACTCTAGCCTAGGCAACAAAGCGAGACTCTGTCTCAAAAAAATAAATAAATAAATAAATAAATAAATAAAATAAAAAAATAAAAAACACACTGCTTTGGTTGGCTACCATCCTTTCAAGAAATACTCTTTTAAAAAAAAGAATGCCATGGATATAGCAGGTCTCAATAACTCCTTGCTGAAAGGCTGATTATCCTTGCACTTCAGTGATAATATTCAAACAGTTTTCAAAGGTTATTACTGCTTAATCCTCCAAAAGAATATTACCTCTGATTTTGTTTTAATGCAGTATACTGAAAACAGCGTGGATCCAAGTCTTGGATGAATGTGGAGATATATAGCAATATAGGGGTGTGTGTGTATATATAAATATCTCATGTCATTTTGGCCTCTATAGACCTCAGTTTCCTCATTTATAAAATCTTGGAATTGCACTGTATCTCCAGTAAGGGAAAAGAGCTAGATCTTACACAACTTTCAAACTTTATGACTATGAAACCTGGCAGCTATGTTCATGTAAGGAGAATGAAAACAGTCATAACAGAGAATATAAAGCACTATGGGTGGGGTTGGGAAAACATTTGAAAATAAAGGTAGTAAGATGTAGAGATAAAAGCACTCGATATGAAGTCTAGAGTTCTCCAGTAGTTAGTCTCCATTCTACCACTGACAGTCAATGTGAAGTTGGCAAGTCACTTGTAATCAGTATCCTCATCTGAAAAACAGGAATAATAATACCTCCCCTGCCTGTTATGAAACCAAATAATGCAATGTGAAGAATGGGTTAAATTCAAAAGTGCTAGGCAAAGATGAAATATATCATTATCAATTCATTTAAGAGCCTGTGATCAGCCAGTGAAATTCCTTGGTTAACAGATAACAGGAAGCAGAGACAAAGAATATTAAGCCTCTGTCAAGTTATGTGACCCTAAGATACAGAGTTTTGCTGCTTCCTAAAAAATATAACATGTACTTTATAAAGATAGGTAGGTCAGTAAGCTTCTACAAAACAGTGCGTTTTACTTCAGATTTCTGTGCCTAGTCCCTTAGGTCATAGTCCACTTTTTATCAGACAATTTAGGATAGGATTCCGGAATCATTTTAAAATTGGAAGGGACCTCATTCTTCCAGTCTCTCATTTTATCAGATGAGGAAACTGAGGTCCAATGAGGTTTAAGGGTACTACTGAAGGTCACATTATTAACACTAGCGGCTAAGAATCTGGGCCTCCTAATACTTAGCCCAAACCCCTTGACATTGGAGTGAAGAGCAAAACAGGAATTAGATCAATTCCTTCTATATTTTTGGCAATTTAAATTCTAATTTCATACTGAAAAAAGTTGGGAGACTCAGGAAAAAAACTTAAGAAGCCATTTATCAACTTTCTATACTACTAATGTTTGGGTACACATCCTATTTTTCTAAGTATTTTACAAAAGTGGGATACATTTTGGACATAGTCGTCTATAATTTTTTTAAAAAACTTAGCAATTCACATTAAACATTTTCCTACAATTAATTTTTATATTTTAAATGGTTACAATGAATGTATTAATACTATAAATATCAAATCGATCTCCAGTTACTTCCTAAATATTAGGTTATTAAGTAGAAAATGTTCGATTTCCTTAAGTACTAAGTTTGACAGTTGATATTTCTGACATTTCACTTTGACACTTCTTGTTTTGTTTTTATTGTGAAGGTACATCCTCAAATGCACGTTTTTGTTTGTGATTATCTTTTAAAATTTTTAGAGCAATTTTGTGAAACCATAGATAAGTCAAAAATTCATGTTATTTTCAAGTATGAGTTCTATTGTAGAACCAGTGCAATGACAGCTTGAAATATCAAGTGTTTTGGAAGGTTATGGCTAATGAATGCACAGTATATCGATGGTTTGAGAAATTCTGTTCTGGTGATTTTAATGTTGAAAATGAGCCACATGGGGGACCTGAGACCAAGGTGGATAATGATGAACTAAAAACTGTAGTGAAAGCAAACCCATCTCAACCTATGTGTGAATTAGCAAAGTCTGACATTACTATTCCAACAATCTTGAATCATGTGAAAGAAATTGGCAAGGTAAAGAAGATGGATGGGTAAAGAAGATGGGTACCACATGAATTAAATGAGCGTCAGAAGAGAAATTCTCTCCAAACCCTGATTACTCAATAGAGACAGGCCAATCCTCTTGTAAGACAACGCTCAACCATGGCGCACAAACAACATTGCTTGAATTACAGAAATTGGACTTAGAAACTCTCTGTCATCCACCAGATTCACCAGACCTTGCACCAACTGACTACCACTTCTTCCAGGCTTTG